CTCACCCTGTATGTATATAATTATACATAAACTAAAAAAAAATTTAATTCAAAGTTAATACAAATCTAAAGTGCAGATGTAAAAGTTTGTTCATTTCTTTAAATTTGAAGAAGTATTATGTTATCATATGACAGAAAGTTCTTATAAAAATAATCACTATTTTGTGTAGCATTTTGTTTTAATCTCTTATGATATTGTTTCATTTACAAGCATGTAAGCAATTTATAAATTTTAGAATAGCCAATTTCCATGAATTAAGCTTCAGTCAATGGACAAACATCAATTGAACAAAACTTCGAGACTTCTTTAGTATTTATTAAAAGCTTGCACTCCAATTGTCTGTTTCAAATGGTATAGATATTATGACAGTTAACATTATTTGTTTCATGTTGTGCAAATGCAAATTATATTATGTTCATCTTTTTATGAATTAAAATCATATATTTCTATAGTGGAAAGATATACATGGTTAATTCTGTCATCAGTAATTACATCATCTGAATGAAGTCATTAGAATAGCGGAATTTTAACAAGTACTTGAGAGGAAAGGAATCTGCAGTTTTGTTCAATTTGTTTGGCCATTGACTAAAGTGGTCCAAAATAAAGATGGAAATCAATATGTAATATCAACTGAAAAGTTTTTCTGAATGCGTAAGAAATTAAATCAAAGACTGTCAAAAATATATTTGAAAAATAATTGTATTATGCATTTAGAAAATAATTGTCACAATTGTACAGTCACTGACAATAAATCGTATTGTGAGAGGAAAAGTGTTATTCCCTCATTCTGGAATTCAGCTGTCAGCATCTGGTCATCCAATTGACAAAATTAACAAGCAGAGGAACAACTTTTCTTCTCTCAAAACAATTCATTGTCGATCAGCATACATCTGCACTTTTGGCTCATATTGGCTTTGAATTTAATTTTTATAATTTATTTATTAACAAGCCAACATGTTCTATTTCGTTAATTTTATTTACTTGCCTTATCTGATTATATATTTCTTTAAAGGCTCTCCATTTAACAAGGGCAGTGGCAACATTGTTACACTTTTCACCAGAGGAGGAACGTCTACTTCAAGAAACTTTAGAATGGAAAATGTCATGGTTTGGTACTAGACCTAATTTAGGATTTGGACAAACTGCCAAGGCAATACCACCCAGCTGATAATTAGAAGATGTTTCGTACTTCACGGAACGCATTAGAAACCAACTTTTTGTTTCTCTCTCTCAAGTCTAGTTGATTTATACAGAGATAATCACAACTGATCCAAAGGACATATAAAACAATTAGAAAAGTTATGTAAAGAGTTATAAACAGTGATTTTACATTTACATAAACATAATAAATTAATTGTGACATGCTCAAAGATTACAGTGGAATCTTATTGCGATAAAAAATGACTTTGTGATATTTGATGATGTCTCATAAGTATACATATAGACCATTACTGATCATTGAAAATTATTGAATTATTTTAAGGACTTGTCATGTACTAAAGTTTGAAGTATCATTGAAGTGCAATTGAAGTGTTTAAACAGACACGGACGATATAATACCCAACATTTTGTGAACGCTTGGGTCATGGTAGCGCCATTTTTTATATGGAACCAATTAATTTGTAATATATTATGTTTTTGTTAAAAATAAAATAATATATGTGCGTAAAATTGATTACACAGTGACGATATGAATTTGGTTATCTGCTATTGTTTATTTCTAGAATTGTATATCACAATAGATATATATACACACAAAATGAGCCAATAAAAACTTTTTATCCTGTTTTCTGTAACCGACTGATTTGTACGAAATATACCAAAATATGTTATTTGTGTTTTTAAGAAAAATGTTTGTTCATGATAAAATTCCTTTGTAATTAGGATTTTGTTAGTAGCTGTGTCCTTTCAAAAATCTTAAATGTAATAGACATAAAGTAACTCGAGTTCTAAAATTATTAATAATTTACGATCAAGTATAATTTACAGTAAATTACGATAATTTTCCGTAATTTTCAGTAACTTTGGTAATTAATTGATGTTTTTAGGTTTTTTATTACGGTAACTTACTGAACAGTATCTATTAAACTCAATATTTGTGTACTTTAAGAAAAGTTACGTAATACCCAAACAGCACAAGATATCCTCAGGCTAATCCTAAATATCTTCGGACATATGTGTACTTTAATGAAAGTTACGTAATACCCAAATAGCACAAGATATCCTCAGACGGCTAGTTGCCCCCCCCGCTACTAAAAATGCAATAATAACAATTATCATTTGTTTGGTGGTGTTTGGTAGTCAATACCATAGTTAAGAATCACAAAAAAAAGATGTTCGCGCGCGAAGTTAGCCCCCCACTTACAAAACTCGGCTTTCCGCATACCACAGATTTTAACTGTAAGATTTTGTTTGGTGGTCGTGTATTGACGTTTGGTAATCTATTCTGGAAACGTCTGCTTACAAGAGATCTTAATAACCCTTCGGTAGTTCACGAACATTGCATATTAAATGACCATGTATTTGATTTTGACAACGTTAAAATACTTCATAAGGAACCACTCTACAAGTGACGATTGATCTCTGAGATGTTATATATGTTATATACTAAACAACATAACGGTCTTAATCTTCAAACTGACACAGTACTCCTTGGAGATAGATATCTTCCAATAATGAAAAAACTTAAGACTTTAAAATAAATCAAATCGTTGATTCTCCTCATTGATTGACCTTTTATTATCTCAGTCCAATCATACTTCGTTTATAATAGTTTTAACATATCGACTTAGTTATATACATATAAATATCACCTCTGATATAATGATAAAACAGACCAATGTACATATCACATCAGTTCGTTATAATATATTTACATATCTCCATCGTTTTTTCTATAATACTCGTAAGTACTTCTACAATTTTACTTTTGACTCTTTTTAACAATTAAGTTATTAAATAACTTTGTTTTTGTCCTATTTATTTAACTTTTACAATTTTTTTACGATTTTATCTTCTTGACACACTTCGTTTTTACTATTTATTTGCAATTTATTTAACTTTAACTGATATACCACCCTCCGATACCAAACAAAGTATCAGACAGTTGATATGCACTGCAATAGAAGGCACGATAAAATGGGATCATACAATTGACCAATCTACCTATATATTATTTGGACTTGCGTACATTATAAGTGAAAATTCAAAACATTTTTTACATATAATTCTGCTATAACGAATGTGTTTTATGACTCATCGCCTTCTAAAATGTAGACCAAGTGTTTTTACTTGATAATGTTTTGCTGAAGAGAGTCACCTTCATCGACCGAAACCTTCAATTGTACCACGACATTATCATTCCTCTAATATACTTATACTAAAATTTATTTATATAACTTGTCACCTTTGTTCCAGTGATGGCTCACCTTACCCCAATCGTTTTTTATTATTTTAACTGTCAACATTAATGTTAACTTTTTCTTTATCGTGTTTCTTTTCCATTTAAAGTATTGAATCAATCTATGAACAAACATTTATTTAGTAGTCCATTTTTTAAACATTTGCATCATCTTCTAATATGACGTATTTCCCAACTTTTAACATCTACAGAAACTTGACAGCAACAATAAAGAAAGAACAGCAGAGCAGACAGACTTTTCCATGATCCTGTAGACAAAAATTGACATCTTAATCTTGATATTTTAAAGTACAAGGATGTTCTTGTAATATTAGATTATTTGTAAAACTATTAAAATAAAGTAGTAATAAATGATATTTTTATATTCTAGTAATGAATAAAGTATGTAATATTTTTATAAAAAGTAAAAGATAATAGACATAATCTCTATATATACTAAATAAGATAAGGAAAATAAAAACTATGATATAATAAATTTACCATGATATAATATATTTTCTATAAAGATATTTCCTATTTCTTGTCCACCCAAAAAATAAAAATTGGATACGGCTGACAGTGCTAAAAGAGGACTTGCTAGTACGCAATGGAGTCTCCTAGTATTTTTTGAAGATAAATACATATTCTGTATTTTAAGATACTGTGTACTTTTGCCAATTGATACTCCTATATTTTCGATTACTATTCCTATGAAATTAAGCAGTGTCCAAATCAATATATTTATCTGTATTCCATGCCATATAAAGACAAACGTGAAACATGAAAATGATGCAAACAGTTTTCCAAAATATCCATTCGATTTTCGTATAGGAACATAAATATATCTGTAAATAATATTAGAATAGTAAAGAGAGTTTATTATATAAAATATGATGTAATCTTCTTATTGACTGGTGTAATAGCAAATATATATTTAATAGATACATTTAATTTAAAAAATGAATGAATGAAATTTACCTTATTAGAAATTTGTATAATCCTCGATCAAAATGTTTCCACATGTCAGAATATAAATGAATTCTAGCTATGCATTTAGGCTGTGGTGGCGCTTTTACGTTATCTAAATAACATAGACTACTGCATGTTCCGTAGATTACAACATATTTATTTAAGAAAAATTGTCCCATGCAATATCCTAAACCATATAGTGCCCAAGAATTCAAGTTTTGTATAACCTACACAAAAAATAAAATATATTCTTATATGCGATTATGATATGCATATATTGGATAACATGGATATAGAAAGATTATTACCTGAAAGTGGTACTGTATAGCATTTACGTAAATAAAATGTAGCAACAATTCAGTAAAGTATAACCAAAATGTATATCTGACTAAATTTAATATAAAAGTTAAAAGCCTCTGGCAATTCCAATAATGATGTGGCTGATTAATCTGGAAAACAACATATTCATTATAGAATTGTGCGACTTTCTATAGTACTTAATATAATTACTCATACATACAGATTCCACAAATTCGTGATACAAAATAAGCGGTCCTAAAAATAATGTAGGCAGGTACAAGCAATATGCTAATTTCTGTATAAAATTGTTTGAGCTGGAGAATTGGTCGTCAATGCTATCCATATTGTGACTGATACTTCTTAAATGTATCCAACACATTACAAGTGTTAAAACATAATGTTTCTCATCATTGATTCCTAACCAACTTTGAAAAGTACCATTTGGTATTTTTAATATGTATATTACAAATAGATACAAGATATGTACAGCCCATGCTGCATTCTTGCTGCACATAAATGTTACTACATGTAAAAAACTAGGTTGCAGCACTACACATAACATGCTCATCGTACCCAAATAGTAATACAGAAAAATTATTGACGACAAGATGTACCAATAGCACAATATCTGAAAAATGTCCAGTTATTTCTTCTTTTGATATTATCTATAATTTTTTTACTTATATATATTCATATATAACTATCATACCATATTATTACTATTGACTTTAACAATCTGACTGACAAAATGATGTATAAAAACGTAAGGTATCAATTTGTTCACTAATGTAAGCCATACAAGCCACTCTTTGTCAGCAATATCTCGTTTCTTTCCAACCCATGTCCATCCTGAAGCAAAATCACCATATGCATCGTAATATTCATTAAAATCTGCAAATATAAATCACATGAGACAAAAACCATTAATCGTAACAGTTTACCTCCCTTACGAAAAAGTACTGAAACAATGATTAGAAAATTACTGTACATCAGTAATTTCTGATGGTTCAATTACTGATATACAGTAATTTTCTAGCAATTATTTCGTTACTTTCTCGTAAGGGCTGTTAATTTGCTCTTCTCTACGCTCTCTATATTCTTACAATTGTTTGCCGAATAAAATTGATACACGGAATAAATGATGGCACCCGACCAAGCAAAGAAATAAAAATAACTTTCGTAATGGCCTATAGTTGTTAAGCCATTGTTTTTCATCGTTAAGTTAAACTTGCCGCTGTAATCACTTTATTACAATCACAGAAAGACAAGTTATTATAGAGTATGTACGTGTACATATATATATCAGCAGAGAGAAACCTGAAAGCGGCCACGCCGGCGTTTTACTTGATACCGTTTTCGCTTCGCTCGGCTGATTCCAGCGCTTTACGCCCATTTTCATTTTTGGAACTATTTCGCTACACCCATTTTCAACCACTGCCGATAAAGTCTCCACTTGGTGTGTGTCCGTGCTATGCCCATTTATCAAGCGGATAATGCAGTGCCCAATTTTGGTTGTGTTCCATGCTGCATGCATGAAATGTCGGTAACACGAGAGTGTAAAGCCTCCGCTACAATGATTCTTGGTTCTGTCTACAATGGTCGTAGTCGTAGTCGCTCGATAATGCGTGGTCTACAATGCGAGTCGCAGAGTCGTAGTCATAAGAATAATCGACTGCGATTGACCAATTTCGTCAGACACATAAGAATTGACCAATCACAGTCGATTATTCTTACGACTACGACTTTACGATTTCTATGTAGACGAGGCTTTAGGCTGGGTCTACATTGGATGTCGTAAGTCGTGTCGGAAGAAATTGACCAATCACAGTTCATTATTCTCCTTACGGTGGAAGAATAATGAACTGTGATTGGTCAATTT